GAGGTGCGGCAGAACATCATGGTAGAAGGACATGGAGGAGGAAAGCAGCTCAGGACATGGTATCAGGAAGCAAAGAGAGAAAGAACTCTGCTTACTGGGGACAAAATAGGCGCACTAGCAGTAACCCATATTCTCCAGCTACACACTACCTGCATATGGTTACCAGCCAGTTGATCCATGTCAGTAGATTAAGCCATGGATTCTGACACTTCTCATAACCTAATCATTTCACCTCTGAAAATCTTTGCATTGTCTCACATACAAGCTTTTAGGGAACATCTCATATTCAAACCATAACAGCTATGAACTTTGACACTCAATAGAAGATAACCACAAGAGCTTTGGTACTTCACCAACAATACAAGAAAAATGGGTATTTCCTCAGGACACTGTTGGGAGGATTGTCTTAGATACATAGGGAAAAGGCCTGGAGTACAGTTGGTGCTTGGTGATGGTTCAGTCTTGCCATGGTCAAGGTGTGTCCCCAGAAACCTCTCTCCCAGTCTTCCCCAGGCCTGCTTCCCACCTGTTAGGATCAATGAGTTCCCTAACAACAAACCTACGAATCTGCTACTTCAGATCATTGACCTGTTCGCATCGGCCCAGGAGCTAACATTTGCACAATGGAAAATCCCATCTCTCACACAGTTTGCCTGCTGCAGAACACCCAGCCCTGTTTGCTCGGGATTCCTTTATGTCATCAGCCATAATTCAGATAATTCTCTGTGGAGCCATTTAGATGCTGCAAGCAAATTGTTTCATTGCTTTCTCAAAGGAAAATTTCTCTCCATATTTCATTTTCTAAGTGATCCTCAAAAGCATGTCAATGGCCTTCTCCATAAACATTTTATTATAAGGTTGAGCAAACCACATTTTAGAGCCCAAGCTACTTTTTAAAATTCTGCATTCTCTGTTCTTAATGTTCCCTCTTCCAGTTACTCAAATATGAATTATACCCAAATCCTTCCTTAAATAATGCAAACTCTATGAAGACAATACTGCATTTGCTTTATTTAACATTGTACTCTCCGAATAAAGTATATTGCCTCACATGTAGTAGAAACTCAGTAAATTTTTGAATTAATAAATGAATGATTGAGTATGACATGCAGAATGGAAAGATCTAGGGAACACAAATTATAAGGACAAACAAAGAAACCAAATATGGAAAATATTTTATGCATATATATATATATATAAAATATTTAATATCTATAAGTCTTAAATATCTTGTGAAGGAATGCATTCTGAATTATTCAAGTTGAAACTGGTGAACATTTATCAGGAATTCTCTAAAGAAAAATCTTGCACTGAATCAAAGGTATAAGTTGGTTACCTTTAATTTTAATTCCAACATAAAAGAGCATGTGATTTCATAAATTTATGCTTCCTAGGTGTTAAGTAGTAGTCTGTGGCAAGTGGGGACTTAATTGACCTTGATGCTTATTCCAATTCCATTGTATTATCCTTGATACTTTAACCAGGCTAAATTCTCTGATCCTCAGTTTCTCCACCTGCAGGGTGAGCATGATACTGACTTTACAGGATTATTGTGGACTAAATGAGATAATCAACTTAAGAGCCTTCAAGCACCACTCACGTATTCATTAACTCCACGACAAATATTAGATTCCTACTCTATCACCAGCCCTCAAACTCACTCTTATTAATGAAGCTAGCACAGTTCAGAAATTCCTTAAGGATGCAATATGTAAAGGAAGCAACACCTGCACTTTAAAAGAAGTGAATTCTCAGGTTGTCACTGGCCCTAACACTCTCCTGACTTTCAGCAGCTCTTACACAACATTTAGGCTCCCATTCTTCAGGTATTCTCCCATTCTCCCTGGACTAAATGGTCCCTTAGATCCTCCCGTGTCCTGGAGATGTAGTATTACTTTCGAAAGTTCAATTCACCTGCATTTTGTACTTTGTGAATACTCATAGTAATTATTAGCTAAAAAAAAAAAAACAAAACAACAACTTGCATGCCCCTGTTGGGTTTTCTAATCATTATAGGGAGGATCCTAACACGTGACTGAACCTGACTTGGTCTCATGAGTAATTATTGGGTACTTTGGGCTTTGTGAAATGCAATAGGCCGCATGGTATCCATTTGCCATAATCACCCTGTCTTGCCAGGTATGCTCTTTGAGGCAGACCTCATCCACAATAACTTCATTTCCTGCTAGAATGAGACTAAAGAGTGAATACATGCAGGTATTAGGATAATATTTCAATTTTTCAAAAGAAAATACTCTTAAAATGGGCCTGATATCCCTCCTGCTGCTACCTCCTTCTCTGAATCTCCCTCCAAAACCCAGGAAACTCATTCCCTGATAAACACAGACTTCCTTAACCACGGGGGAGAACAGATCATTGGAGCCCCCTGCTTGGAAACCCTACAGTGCACTGGTGTCCCTTCCTAAAACCTGATTAGTTCCTCAAATAGAAAGCCTGATCCTTTTTCATCATATCTTCCCACCCTTGGACAGTTTTCAATACTAGTAATTTGAATAATAAAGCTGACATTAACATGGGGTGAGCTCTTCAATGGAGATAAAGAACAAAGGGGTCAAGAAAAAGACTCCTTTGCCTCTAACT